TGTTTGGTAAGGTGGAGGATCAGAGAAATAGAAGAACACCCTCAGTGAGATGGATTGGCAAAGTGGTAGTATCAATGGGCTCAAATCAAGCATGGCAAAAATAGTGAGGTTGTCCCAGGATCAAGCAGTGTTTCATTCTGCTGTGTATAAGGTCACTGTGAGTTGGTACTGACTCGGTGACACCTAACAACAACACCATCACCCAAGTTAATGCATGTCTACCCTCTACCCAGTGAATAATTTTCCCTTCCCTCCCACCCCTGGTAACCATCACAGAATGTTTCTTTAAGCAAGAAAACCTTTTCTTGAGTTTTTACAACAGTGGTCTCATACAACATTTGTCTTTTTGTCATTGATTAATTTCACTCAGCATAATGTCCTCCAGGTTCATCCAGGGTATGAGGTGCTTCACAGATACATCAATATTCTTCATTGTTGCATAGTGTTCCATTGTGTGTATGTACTAAAGTTTGTATCCATTCTGCTACTCTGTGTCTACTGCCTGGTGCATTTAATCCGTTGATATTCACGATAATTACTGATAGATATGAATTTGTGAGGATGATTGCTATCTTTGTGCAGTGTGTTTTTTTGTGATGGTATTAGTTTCTTTGTGTCATATAAATATCTGTTCTGAGTTCATTTTGTTTCTGGGTTTTCTTTTCTTTCTATTCATTGTTGTTGTTAAGTGCCATCGCGTCGGTTCCGACCCATAGCGACCCTGCATAGAGTTTCCAAGGAGCGACTGGTGAACTTGAACCACCGACCTTGTAGTTCAAACGGCTTTGCAGTCTGGTGCATTTACTCATAGCGCCACACCAAGACTCCTTCTCTTCATTAGTGTTATTTTAATGTTTGCTAAATTATTCTGATTTTCCTTTTTTTATAATTTGATATGAAGGTGTATTCATGTTCTTTGTGGTTATTCTATAATTTATTATTTTTTTCCCTTTTAAAACAGTATGTTTTATCTCAAAATCTACTTGAGTTCATCACCAGTTGGTAATTCTGTATTTGTACTATTCCCTCCTTTTACTTTGTCGTTGACTTCATTATAAATTTATATTTCTGGCTCCCTATTTTCAGTCTTATAGGTTTGTTTTATTTGGGTACTTCTATATCTGGATTGAAATCCTGGTGTGACACTGTAAGATAAGCACTGAACTGCTAACCCCAAGGTTCAAACCTACCAGCTGCTCCTCAGAAACCTATATAGGGTTAATATGAGCCAGAGCTGAGTTGATGGCATGGTAGTGTAGTGGTTACGAATAGGGCTGCGAACCTCAACGTCAGCAGTTCGAAACTACCAACCGTTCCATGGGAGAAAGATGAGGCTTTCTGCTCCTGTAAAGATTTACAGCCTCGGAAACCCTGTACAGGGCCACTATGAGTCAGAACCAACTCCATGGCACCTAACAACAACAACAAATATCTGGATTGAATTCTGGGTGTTGTTGTCCTATGTGCTAATCTCAAGTTGTTGTCTACTTTAGTATTTTATGTAAAGTTGATCTGGTTTTTATAACTTCCTTTAATTTTGGTTTATCTGAAAATGTCCTAATTTTGCTGTGAGGGACATAATTTGAGATGATGGACAGCATGTTCTGTATATAATTCTTGGTTGGCAATTTTTTTTCTTCAGAGTTTTGCATATCTATCCATTTGCCTTCTTACCTGCATGGTTTCTGCTGAGAAATCAGAACATAGTCTCTTATTGGTTCTCCTTTGCAGGTAACTTTTTGCTTTTCTGGAGCTGCTCTCAGGATTTCCCTCCTTGTTTTTGGTTTTGGAAAGTTTGATTATGATATGTCTTGGTGATTTTCTTTTGTAATCTATTCTGTTTGGGGTTCGTTCAACTTCTTGCATGCTTATCTTCTTGTCTTTCGTGATGTTAGGCAAGTGTTCTTTCAGTAACTTGTAGACAATTTTCTCTTTGCTTTTTATTGTCTCTTCCTGTTCTGGAATTCCAGTCACCCATAAGTTACCCTCTTCATGTTGTCCTACATAAATCTCAGGCTTACTTAAGATTTTTTCATTCTTTTGTTTGATC